TACATACATACATACATACATACATACATACATACATACATACATACATACATACGATTTGGCCAAATGCAATTAATTTTTTTAATCTTTGTCTTTTTAATGGCATAGATCCAGCCCACACAGAATCCAGCATGTTGTTTTCCTGTGCCAACCTCCTGCCGGCCAGCCTGGAGAGGTCTTCCTTCCACAATCATTCCAACGAAACAGAGTCACATCCTGAGCTGAATTCAACTCAAGAAGCAGAAACCCTTGAAAGAGGAGAACATAAGGGTACAGAAGCTCCGGTTAGTCAAAAAGTAAAAATTAAGCTAGGGTGGGAATGGGGAGGTGGAGCTGCTCTACTACTTACCTTTGGACGGTTGTAGCCAGGCCTCACACACCTTGACACCTGCCTTGCTGTCCCATTTCTTTTGCAACCAGCAACGCTGACAAGGCTTTCCTGAAGGCTTCTGTCACTGATAACAAAGCTCTGGATTGATCCAGAGCTGTTATCGGTGTCAGAGGCCTTCATGCAAGCCTTGCCAGCCGCAGAAGTTCCTGAGGGCCTCTGACAGAGAAAAGGAGGCTGGGGGCAACATGCACAAGTGAGGTTAGTCAGTGAATGACGTCCTCCAAAAATAAGACCTGGTGCCTTTTTTGGTGGCAAATATATATATATATATAAGACAGGGTCTTATTTTCGGGGAAACACGGTATAACCTATTCTCAATAAAACATAACTCTGGTCTTCTGTTTCCTGGTCTGAGCAACTTCAGAAGAGTTATACTACTTTGTTGATGTGCTAATGATGTTCTTTACGAATCGGTCCAGGTTCAGATAGATACCTTGGAGGCTCTAAAACAAGGTGAAGACCTACCTTTTCCTCTTCTGAGGAAGTTCCCGGAGACAAGCCAAGGGGTTTTGCAGGACCCTCCCCTACAAGATCAAAAAGGTAAATTTCCTAGCTAGGAATCAACAAATCTGCCATTTTTAGTTCATGAAGAAAAGCAAGGTTTTACACCTGGGCAGGAAAAACCAAAGGAGCAAAGTGCAGATGAGGCGAAACCGGGCTCAAAAACAGCAACTGTGAGAGGGACCTTGGAGTCCTAGTGGATGTCCTAGCAGCCAAAAAGGCTAATACGATACTTGGTAGCATAAACAGAGGCATAAAATCATGTGAAGTATTATTACCATTTTATAAAGCCTTAAGTAAGGCTGTACCTGGAATACCGCATCCAGTTATGGTCACCACATTACAAAAAAGATGTTGAGACTTTGGAAAAAGAGCAGAGAAGAACAACTAAGATGATCAAAGGCCTGGAGACTAAAACATACGAAGAACGGGTGAAGGGTTTGGGTTTGGCCAGTCTAGAGAAAAAAAGGACAGGGGAACATGATAGCAGTCTTCCAGTATTTGAGGGGCTGCCCCAAAGAAGAGGAAGTCAATTTATTCTCCAAAGCATCTGAGGGCAGGACAAGAAGCAATGGGCGGAAACTAATGAAGGAGAGAAGCAATCTGGAATTGAGACGAAACTTCCTAAAAGTGAGGACAGTTAACCAGTGGAACAGTTTTGCCTTCAGATGTTGTAAGTGTTTCATCACTGGAGGTTTTTGTGATGACCCAGGGTGGGATACAAAATAAACATAGTCACAAAAACAGGTGAAGCCCCTTTTATTCCTTCACTTTGCTTCCAAGCTCCAAATATCCTTGATTGGAGACAAAAAAACTCCCCCACAAGCAGTTATGAAAAGGAAGAAATGCCGTTTAAACTAAAAATGCCTATAAATTATAAAGAGTAAAAACAACACAAACCACACTGAAGCAATTAAGGGAACCAGGCAAGATAAGGGCTTGAAGACGTCCACAGATATTGGAACACACACAGGGAAGGACGCCAAACTCAGAGAGGAATGACAGACTAGAGATATTTCCACGCTTTGTTTCCAGCACTGACCCATACGCATGTCCGTCCTTTTAACCAGTTCTCACAGCTGCAGCCCATGAAGAGGATCAAGGCCCTTTCCTCCCCCGTAGACCACACCATTCACGTCTCTCCCTTATCCTCTCCTCCCTGCGTGCCCTAGGATGGAGAGGGGATGGGCCTGGGTCTTCCTCTGATTGCTCAGCCGGCCTCTGCCCTTCCCCAGCCTCCTCCACAACCTCCGGAGCCACACTCCCACTCCTTGTCAGCTATTCCTCCTCTCCCTCAGATTCAGTCTCCAACAGGGGCATGGCAGTTTTTAAGAGACTGGACAGCCACTTGTCTGAAATGGTTTAGGGGCTCCTGCTTTAGCAGAGGGCTGGACTAGAAGACCTCCAAGGTCCCTCCCAGTTCTATTCTGATTCTGGGTGGGATGCTGGTTTTGTTCCCCCCAAAACCAGTCCTGAAAAACCGTAAATTACGTCATGTTTTCCAGGGCTAGCAGCATCCATTCAAGCATGAAACCCCACCACTCGAGTTCCTCTTTTGCACGCAAGCAGTGACAATCAGAGCAGACAAGGCTTCCCTGGTGTTCTTAAACAAGCCTTTTTTTAAACCATGAATATTAGTAAATTAAATTAATTAATATTAAAGCATTCCTTAATGAGTTGACAATTATCATTTTTGTCATTTCAAGCAGTTTGTCGTTTTGGAAGCCCTTTAAGGATTTCAGAGAGAGGTGTGAAACTGTAAAAAAAAAATATTTGAAAAACATTTGAACCATTTTAAAAGTTTTAATTTTAGCTGTTTTTTTTCTTACTGTGGCAGCTGCTGCCGCCGAGAACAGGGACCCAACAAACGTAAGTTGATCCTATTTGAAATCTTGATGTCAGGATTCCGGCACTTAACCCCATTTACAAATTTCCAAAACTTCAAAAGGATTTATTGGGAGTTAACATGTCTGGCACTGCCTGGGTGCAGCTGACTCTGAGATACATAATTCATTGCCACCCTTGACCCTGGTTTTCTCCCCCACCCCCTGGGTGTATCATAATTCATATTCTCCAGTGGGACACATCCATAGCCAAGCGCCATCAATCATGCTCTCCAGTTAGAATTTTGCGTGGCAGAAACTTCGGTCACCTAGTTAGTATCTTTGAAAATATTTGTGGAATGCACTTTCAGTTTGCAAGTTGTTGCAGTGCTCCTCCCTCCCTTTCTGTTGGCAACTCTAAAAAGACCATAGAATTATTTTATGAGTTGACACTTCTTGAACTGTCTTAAGCTGCTCAGGGCCTGATGAGGAGCATTTGAACATTGCTCGTGACAGATTTTTAAGTTATTGATTTTTGATCAGATATCATGTGTATGACCAGGGCTGAACTTGTGGTCTTCAAACTTGTTAGTTAGTTAGTCCAGGGGTCCCCCAACTTATGGACCACAGCCCCCACTACCACGGCCTATTCACAACCAGGGCGCGTGAGTGCCCGGCTGGTGCACATGTATGTGTGCGCAAATATAACCCCACTTACCAGAGCGTTGCAGGGCTTACTGCCCTACTCTGCGAACATTGCGGGGGCTCGAGGCCCCACTCATGCAAGCAATGAAGGCACAAAAGTATACCCTCTATCCTCCCCCCTTCACTCTGCTCCAGAGCGCCAATCTGGAAAGATTGGGGAACTCAGGTTAATCTACAAGTACTCCTCAACTAATGATTGTAACGGAGTCTACCTATTATGGTTGTGACGGTCCTTAAGTGAGGTGATCACATGTCTCCCAGATCAGTTTTGATATGTTGCATAGTCAGTACAGATCGTCCTCAGCTTACAACCACAATTCATCCTCTTTTAACGAGCCCATAATCTCTTGCGGGGTGGAGTCTGGGTGACTGAATGGAGTTGAGTGTTTTACTGGCCAGATGCCCTTCCTGTCACCAATGTGGAGTTTTGTTCAGCAGAGTGCCCAGAAAGAGAAATATCCACCTCTACCTAAGATTGAACTCACAGCCTTTTGATTGTGAGGTGAGAGCTCCACCTCTAAACTGCCGCACCACTCAATTGACCACCATAACTGAGCCCGACAATTCTGTTGTTCAACATTCGTTCAATGGGTTTCGTCCCATTCTACGACCTTTCTCGCCACAGTTATTAAGTGAATCCCTGCAGTGGATAAGGCAGTAAGCAGATTGCTAAGTGAATCCAACTTCCCCTGTTGATTTTGCTTGTCAGAAGGTCGCAAACGGGGATCTTGTGACCTTGGGACACAGGGACGGTCATAAAGATGAACCGGTGGCCACGCATCTGAATATATATGGGATGATAGGGCTGCTACAAAGGTCATAACTGTGGAACACAGTCATGAGTCACTTTTTTCAGTGCCATTGTAACTTTGAACGGTCACTAAACAAATTGTAAGTTGAAGATTACCTGTACAAATAGTGTAAACAGGAGTGGAACGGTGCTAATTGTCTTTACCATCTAGGTAAAAGTTGTAGTTGTGACACTGGAGTTTTTCAAGGAGCACCTTATCTTCTCCATCTACTTGTTCCATCTGATTTCCCTCTCCTTTGCAATCCAAATTAGTGACTTTTTGTAAGTTGAGGATTACCCGTAACGTCTTTTTAAACCACCATTGTAAGCTAACATTGAGATCCTGGTCTGCTTCTAGCTAGGGGCTACAACTTGTAACATCACAGCCTACTATATTCATGCCATTTGGTAGAAACGCAGGGATGGGCTGCTACCGGTTCGCACCGGTTTGGGCGAACCGGATGTTAATTTTGTATCTGTTTTGCTGAACCGATACTTTCAACGACTGGCTGGCTTCACCCACGCCTCTCCTCCCAGGAGTCCCCCATGTGGCCTGTTTTGGATCCCAGATAAATGCAGGGCCCATGCGGAGGCTCAGGGAAGGTGAAAAATGGGCCTCCTGGAGGCTCCGGAAGGCCGGAAAAGAGGCTCCAAAGAGCCTCTAGAGCCCGGGGAGCCCATTTTTCACCCTCTCGGAAGCTCAAGGGAAGCCTCCGGAGCCCAAGGAGGATGAAAAGCCCCCCCCCTGTGCTGTGGTGCAGGAGGCTGACTAGGCCATGCGCACCATGGCCTTGCCCACCCAGCAACCGGGCAGAGAACCAGTTGCTAATTTTTTTGAAGCTCTCCCCTGTAGAAACCGGATAATCATCAGGATTCTCCTTACCAAAAACTTACTGAAATTACGATTGTCCAGGAAGGAGGATCAGCCAAGCAGTGGGCTTGCAAACCTAGGTTGGAAAGATTTGGGGGGGTAAAACATGCAGCGGGCCTGTATTATTTGCATCTAATTGTATATGTGATTGACTTATTGAAGCGTTCGACGTGCTGGGCTTGGGATCCGGAAGAAGAACGCAGGCGCCAGGAACGGTGGCAGCAAGAACAGGAACGCTTACTCCAGGTAGATCCAGTTTCTTGCTCTGAGTTGTTTTCCCCCCCTCTCTAATCCAAAAGAGGAGGGACGCGGTGGCTCAGTGGCTAAGACGCTGAGCTTGTCGGTCAGAAAGGTCGGCAGTTCTGCGGTTCGAATCCCTAGCGCCGCAAAATGGAGTGAGTTCCCGTTACTTGTCCCAGCTTCTGCCAACTTAGCAGTTCGAAAGCATGTAAAAAATGCAAGTAGAAAAATAGGGACCCCTTTGGTGGGAAGGTAACAGCATTTCATGTGCCTCTGAAGGCATTTAGTCATACCGGCCACATGACCACAGAGATGTCTTCGGACAGCGCTGGCTCTTCGGCTTTGTAACGGAGATGAGCACCGCCCCCTAGAGCCGGAAACAACCAGCACAGATGTGCGAGGGGAACCTTTACTTTACCTTTAATCAAAAAGAAATTTCAAAATAAACCTTTGCTAGTAGGAGCTATTCCCTCGATCAAGCTGGAGATACCAGTTCCACCACGTTGGGCCGGGATTCCTGGTTTACAGTTTGCGTTGCTCCTCTTCCCTTAGGAAAGGTATCAGAAAGAGCAGGAGAAGTTGAAGAAGGAGTGGGAAAAGGCGCAGAAGGAAGTTGAAGAAGAGGGACGCAAATATTATGAAGAGGTATGAAGCCTGAGGTGGGATGGTGGACAGATGGGGATGAGCCTCCAACTCAACAAGCATCCTTGCTCTTTGGACCTTTTGTAATTTTATTCCCCAAAAATATTTCAACTTTTTCTCCCCTTTTTAAAATTTAGTTTGTAGAAGGTTGGTCAACACATTTGAATTATGTACAGCTAGTCCTTGATGCAGTGGCTCAGTGGCTAAGACGCTGAGCTTGTCGATCAGAAAGGTCGGCAGTTCGGCGGTTCAAATCCCCAGTGCTGCGTAATGGAGTGAGCTCCTGTTACTTTGTCCCAGCTTCTGACAACCTAGCAGTTCTGCCAATCATACTACAAAAAATCGAACCATATTGAAGAAGTTACTTGGATGATCAGTGAAACAAAAAGAAAATAAATCATGACTCAGCTTCCAGACAGCGCCACCTGGATGTCTGAGAATTTTCATGAATTTTGACCATCTTCTCTTCTTTAGGAACGCAAGATCCTGGAAGATACTGTGGTGCCATTCATGCTGGCTTCAAGCTCTGCAGAACCCCTGTCTACGTCATCTTCTCTGACTGATGGAAGCAGGACTATGGTGTGTCCTCTAGTGGAATTTAAGGCTAAAATGGGTGATGCCCCCAAAATATAAGCTTTTATAAGACGGTACTTTATAGAATATGGTGGCGCAGTGGTTAGAATGCAGTACTGCAGGCTAACTCTGCTGGCTGCCAGCTGTCAGGATTCCAGCAATCGCCCTAATTAAATCATGATTCTCGAGCCAAACTTCAAAAAACTTCAGAGGATTTATTAGAGGCAACATACTGGCATGACCTGTATGAAGCCAACTCTGGCATATGTAATTTATAGTCCCCTGTGACCCTGTCCCCCCCCCCCCCCCCCCCCCCCCCCCCCCCCCCCCCCCCCCCCCC